CCAAACAGTCTCACTAGTGCCAAGTGATGTGACAAGGGCCAGTGGTCACAGAGCGGACCCTCAAATATTCAGGGTGGACATTAGGAAATGCTTCTTCCTATGGATGGATGTGATGCAGTCCTGATGCAGCCCTGATGCAGCGATGGGAGAGCTCTGTCCTTGGGGGAGTTTCAATGCTAAGGTAGCCAAAGCCACAGGCACTGATCTGGTGTTGGGAATAGTCCTGCCTTGTCCTGCCATGACCAAACAGCTGGGCAGAGATGCCAGCCCTGCGAGGATTCACAGCACTGTACCTGCTGAACATCACTGTGCTCCTGGCTGGGCTCCAGCCCAGGGATGCCCTGCCATGGTGTGGCTTTGCAGAGGTCCTGCTTGGCTCCCTGCTCCTCAGCCCAGATGCAGTGTCTGCTGCCTGCAGGCTTATGGCACTTTGATCTCTTGAGTGACCTCTTCTACTGACCTTGAGATGGACAGAACTGCACCTGGGACACATCCATTGACTTTTGATGGAGCCATGAGTGGTGTGAAGAAGCCGAACATGAGCCGTGGTGGCAAGCAAATCAGTATCCCATACAGTGGGCAGATGCTCCTTGCAGCACATAGCCCTGTGTCTGCATGCTTTTCCCCACGCTAGGCTAACCAGCCCCCTTCAGAGACCAGTGTGAGTAGCCCTTGGCCACAGACCAGGTCCTACCATACCCCAAAAGCCTTTTGCTTCCTCTGTTTGCCCCTCTCCCCTGGGAAAATCAGTGCAGGGCAGTACCAGCCTTGCCAGGCACACCTCAGCACTGCAAAGCAGGGACTCCTGTTGCAAGCCTCAGGGCTCCTGGCACGTTGTCAGTATAGCCCTGGGCACCCTGCTCTGATCCCTTCTTATTTATGGCACATCCTTCCTGTCTTCTCCCTGCTGTTACTGCCTGAAATGTTGTAATTTAGATTCCGGCTGTGTTTGATTGCAAACTCTCCCAATCTACAAATTCCAGTGACAAGCTCTAGAGCAGCTCATTTACATGCCAAAGTGATCAATCCGGAACTGCCTGTTACACACACACGAATAAATAAATAACTGATACACCAAAGAAAGGGAAACAAGCAGCCCGACTAACCGATACATGTCAAATAGTGACAAGCCCTGACATCCTGAACAGAGAACAAGAGGAGAACGGATAGGACAAGCTTGCCCAGGGCTGCTCAGCCTTCACCTATCTCCTCTCATCCCCCAAGGCAACAGGGGTGTGCATCGATGCCAGGTTCCAGCGAGCAAAGACTGGAGCATGAAATCCTGGCTTTTAAAGCACATACCTGCCCTTGTCCCTCACACCTGCTCTGCCATAGGAATAACAAGTCCCCCGTGACAGGAATTCAAACATCTTAGACAATGGCAAGTGGCCTTTCAGCCTGATTTCCAGCTGACATCGCAGGAAATCCTTCCAGGGCACCTGAACCATCCCAGCTCCTTGTCCCATTGATTGAAGCATGACAGACTTGCACATTCATGCAAACCTTGCTTTTCTGGTGATCAGCAGCATTTTGGGACAGGCCAGCTCACCAGCTGCAGGACCAGTCTGTGTGGGTCCTTGGGCATCATTAAGCCAACAGTGACCGCAGAAGCACGGCTGCTCTGAGCTGTGCTGGGTGTGGGGGAACCCCACCACTTTGGTGAGCATCCACATCATTTAGGACAGCTCTCACGGCCTCCTGGCTCTGCTGCAGACCCAGGATCAGCATCACTCTGGATGGATTTTACCCTTTCAGGATGGGGCAGCTCCTTCACCTCCTTGCTGTCCTGTCCTGGTGGGTGTGGGTGCAGACCGGGGTGCTGGTGAGGTGTGTGGTGCATTGCTGATCTCCCACCACCTCCCTTTGTGCTGTCTCCTATGCAGTGACAGGAAGGAGTCAGCTGCCTGATTTATCCTCCTCTGACAGCTCCTGCCTGTCACTGCTTGGAGCCCCAGGGGATCCCAGCAGGGGAGGCAGTGAGGAGCATCTCTCCCTGTTGTCTGCTGTCAGGCAGCTCATGTGCGCCTGCAGGCACTGCGGATGCAGGGGGGAGATGTTTCAGGGGTCAGTTTTCCCCCATGGAGGGGTGGAGTGCTGGGGTGGCTCTGACACATCCTGCCAGGTGACGTGAAGGAGCTGCCCCATGGCCCATCCTGGATTGAGGAGGGTTTCTCAGGGTAAAATCCATCTGAAGAGACACTGATCCTGCGTCTACATCAGAGTCAGGAGGCCATGAGGGCTGTCTTAAATGTTGTGGATGCTCACTAGAGTGGTCAGGTTCTCCTGGACTCGGGGCTGTTCTCTTTGGGGCAGGTTTTGGGGGGCTCTACAGAGTATCTACAACCACTGGATACCCCAGTGTACAAGTGTACACCTTCCCCTCTGCTTTGGGCTTGACCCCGTTTCACATCATCTGCAGGTCTCCTCATCATCCTTGTCCCTGTTCCATGCTGGACTCTGCTGGTGGTGGTGCTGGTGGGATGCTGCTGGACCCGCATCAGCAGGGACAACCTGCCAGGGCTTCACAACCATCCTTACTGAGGAAACACCGCTTCTGCCCCAGCCTCAGGGGGGTGCCAAACTGCTCCCAGCTTGGGGAAGGGCATTTGTGGCCTCACTGGGGCAGCTTGCAGGAGGGAGCTGGGGCAGCTCAGCCTGGAGAAGACTTCTGGGACACCTTACTGCAGCCTTTCAGTACTTAAAAGGAGCCTATAAGAAAGATAGGGAGAGACTTTTTAGCAGCACCTGTTGCGACAGGATGTGGGGTGATGGTTTTAAACTAAAAGAGGGAGATTCAGGCTGGACGGAGGAAGGAATTTCTTACAACGAAGGTGGTAAAACACTGTCCCGAGTTCAAGTTGTCCGGAGAGGTGGTGGATGCCCCATCCCTAGAGACATTCCAAGCCAGGCTGGATGTGGCTCTGAGCAGCCTGTTCTAGATGAAGATGTCCCTGCTCGCTGCAGGGGGGTCGGACTGTGTGAGCTTTGAAGGTCCCTTCAACCCTGTGATTCCATCCCGGATCCCGATGCGTGGTGGCTCCGTGCCGGGGCAGGGCTGCCCGTGCGCTCACTCTGCAGCGGGACACCCCGCGGTATCGCTCGGGGCACACGGGGATGCTAAAGGGGGGGTCCCCCCTGCCTCTGCCTGACGCGGAGCGGCTGTCACCGGGAATGGCTGAGGCAGCACTGCCACCTCGCGGCATGTCTCCCCACTGCCACTGCCCGGCGAGGCCCTCACCGCATCCCAGAGACACCCGGAGGCAAGGGGCCGGAGTGTGCCAGGCTGGGGCTATGTTTGGGTTGGCAGATGTGGTCTGCAGGAGCCTCCAGGATGGCTCCCCGCAGCCATCCAGCCATCCATCCATCCATCCATCCGTCCATCCCTCCCTCCCTCCATCCATCCATCCCTCCATCAATTCATCCATCCCCCCATCCATCCATCAATCAATTCATTCATCAATTCATCCACCCATCCATCCATCCGTCCGTCCCTTCATCCATCCATCTACCCCTTCATCCATCCATTCCTCCCTCCCTCCCTCCATCCATGATCCATCCATCCACCCTTCATCAATCCATCTATCCCTTCACCCATCCCTCCCTCCCTTCATACATCATCCATCCATCCATCCATCCATCCATCCATCCATCCATCCATCCATCCATCCATCCATCCATCCATCCATCCATCCATCCATCCATCCATCCATCCATCCATCCATCCTTCTGTCCATCCGTCTTCTGGAGCCACCGATGTCGCAGCTGCAGATCAGGAGGAGGATGGAGGAGGAAGGTTGGCTTGAACACAGCAACACTGAAAGTCAAGCAAGTGGAGCTAAGCACTGACAAGGAGCCTAAAGAACCTGGAGGAGGTGCCACCTGGACCAGCACCATCTTCCAGAAGATGCTGGAAACCTGCAACCATCCCCCTGTAATCCAGCATTTCAGTGGGGTTAGGGGGACAAACAGAGACAAAGGACACAGGAGCATGAGGCCATTCATCAATCCTGGGTGAAATGACAGAGTGATCATATTTTGACTATGTTAAGGAAGGGCAGTAGGGCAGAAACACAATTACTGCCCAGAAGCCCTGTTTTGCAGAAGGTCTTTTCAAACTCACCCGTCATCTCTTCTTGACACAAATACAGGTCTGGTTGATAGAGGAACTCTGATAAAATAAAACTGCATTTCTTCTGGGCATCTGATTTATTACAGGCTGACATTTGGATCAAAAACATGTATTATATTGCATTAAGAGGGCGCAAGCTCAGCTCAGTGATAGATCTCCAAAGGTCATTATTAATGGAGATGCATCCATGAGCAAAGTTCTGTCTGGAAAGGGTCTCTGGGCTCACTTTTGGTTTCGCATCAGTCATTTCCTTTTTGAGCTGCTTTGGAAACAATACAACACCTTCCTTGGGACTGCGAGAGGTGGCCTGGTTGGTCCCCAGCATCCCCAAGGACCTGCTGCACTCATTGAGGCATACCTCATCCCTCTGCTCCCTGCTGCAGTGGGGCCTGAGTACTGGTGGCATCTGGGGGCAATCCTGTAGCAGAGCTGACTCTGCTGGAGCCCTGCTTCATCAGGGAGCAGCCCTAAGGTGGGCATCTGAAGGGGTCAGCCCTCAGCAGCAGCGATGACAAGGCTGGGTACCAGTGGCAGTCACGCTCTGCCCATCACCCAGACCAGAAGCCATCCAGAGTGATCCCCACAGCGAGCATCCCTTGGATGCCACCTCGTGCTCACACCTCCTGTCCCCTCCTGCGGTGACAGAGCTGTGGGATGCCTTTGGGCAGCCTCCACCTTCCTGTTGCTTTGTGCCCAGCCACCGCTGGTCCTGATGCAGGGACGGTGCCTTGGGCTAGGCTGGGAGCGCTGTGGTCCTTCACTTCTGCTGACCAAGCTGTTCCCTGACTGTGCCCGGCACAGCAGGAAAGGGAACAAGTTTCTCGTGCAAAGAAAGCGAAACTTGGCACTCCTCTTCCCCCAACCAGGCAAACCACCGTGCATGCAAGTATATCCCCTCGCCCTGCTGCTCTTCCTCCCTGCTCCCAGCTTCTAGCGAGGAGAGCTGCTGCTCAGACTGCTCTGTCTTCACTCACCCCAGCAAGGAGGTAAGTCACCCCCAAGAGCAAGGGACACGTGCCTCCTCTGCCGACACTCACCAGTCCTTGCTCCCTGTCCCACTTGCCTCCTCCACAAGTAGGAAAAGGAGGAGAATACGATGCCAGGGGGAAGGGAGGGCCACAGTAATCTGTCCTTGCTCCATGCGGTTGGGAACATCGCTGGGTTCTGCAGGCTTGTTCCAGGCTGAGCACCCCAGGTTTTGGGGCAGGTGTGTGCGCTCAGGACAGCCCTTCTCTCTCCCAGCTCTATGTGTTGGGCAGATGGATCTCTTTCTGCCTGTTTACCCTTTGTTTATCCCTCCTCTGTTGTGTCTTTTTGTACCCCTTCCTCACTTGTGGTCTCTATCCCATGGGACCACTGCCAGTATCTCAGTGCTTCAACACTTCTCTGCATGCATCTGACATGCAACCACCCATCCCAAGGGCAGGCAAAGGGTTTATGCTGCGCTTCATGTCCCGTGCTTTCCAACCCCACAGTCCTGCCTTGGCCACACATCAGATTTTCTGTAATATCAGTGATTTCAGATCACATAAGGAAACACCCTTAAAATCCTTCTGTGAAGTTATTTTCATTACTGCATGCAGTGTTCTGTCTGTATTGGACAACACACGGGTGCCATGGTAGACCTGTGGATGCACCTGATGTGTTTGCATCCAAGGTGTGTTTGCTGTGTGCTTGCCTCCATCCCCAGTTCCCTCACCCCTGTGTCTATAGGGAGGCAGGATGCACCCTGGGCTTTGGCTGGCTACCAGCACCCTGGCAGTGGTGCTGGGCATGGCCCTGATGGAGGACGGTGTGTGCCGGGCACCGGATGGCAAGGACGGCTTCCCTGGTGTCCCTGGCCTTGATGGGAGGCCGGGGCAGAAGGGTGACATGGGAGAGCCGGGTAAGTGGGATCCAGGGATGTGCAGTGCAGGGGACCTGGGAGCCCCAAGCCCCTTGGTAGCAGCATCATGGGCTGTGGGAGCAGCTCAGGTTATGACAGCCATGCATGGACTTCTCCCCCTCACCACCTCTCTGCAGGGAGATCAGCACAGAGGACGGGCATCCAGGGACTGAAAGGGGATGCAGGTGAGCCAGGGCCTCCTGGCATCCCAGGGAACAGGGGTTACCATGGCCTGCCCGGTCCCCCTGGGTTAGCTGGGCAGCCAGGGCCAAAGGGGCCCAAGGGGAAAGCTGGCAATGTCATGGAGCAGCCGCATCCTGCCTTCTCTGCCTCGCGGAGGTCCCCACCGTCCAGGGGCAGCACCGTGGTGTTCGACAACATCATCACCAATGAGGAGAGCTCCTACAGCCCCCAGACCGGGGAGTTCACCTGCCGCATCCCCGGGATCTACTACTTCTCCTACCAGGTGATCTCCAGCGGTGACCTCTGCCTGAGCATCACCAAAAACAGAGAGAACGTGGTCAGCTTCTGCGACTCCAACAGCCGCCAAGTGCTGCAGGTGAACTCGGGCAGCAGTGTGCTCAGCCTGGAGCAGGGGGACCGGGTCTCCCTCAGCACTGACCCTGCCCGGGGCAGCATGATCTACAGCGGCTCCGAGGCAGACAGCGTCTTCAGTGGCTTCATGCTCTACCCACTGACGAGCTGATGGGTCCATCCACCAGCCCAGACCTACCTGTCTGCATAGTGTTTCCCCCTGTGAGTGCATGGAATGGTTCAGTACTGCAGCAAACACAGATGGCTGTAAACTGAGTCACCAGATGGGTTCCATAAGTGCCATAGAGTGGCCAGGCTGTGGGTCAGCACTGGAGCAGTTACCTCCATGCTGAGCCTTCCCACTCCATCCTGGAGGCAGAGGGCATTCAGACCCCACACTGGAGAGGTCCAGTTGTCCCTGGAGACAACTTTACCAGCTACAGTTCTTTGCTCCTGAGTGGGAAATCACTGCGTGCCACTGCTTCTGCTACACCAACCATTGCAAACGCCTTTCTGGCACGCAGCCACTGCTGCTTCTCACACCCTTCTCCATCTGCATAAATAAACCCTTCTTCCACAACAACTGCTTGGCTTTTCTTTCCTATTCATGATTCTTCCCCAAACCATCGTTGTCCTGGGCCCCTTCCCAAGGTGCCCAGTGGGAGAAGCGATCCCAGCTTGCCCCTGACCGATCACAGACCCCAATTGCAAAGGCAAAGGGACAGGAGGGACTGAATGTACGAGCAGAGCAGTTATAGGGAGGAGCAGGAAATGTCTGGGACTAGCCCGTGTCTGTCCTTTCTTGGATGAGTCGAAGGTAGCTGTCCTGTACAAACACAGGGGCAAATAGAGGAAGACCATGCACTTCACCCACATGGCACTCTTTGGTACCCAGACTCTCCAAGGAAGGGGAAAAGCAGCTGTGATCCTCCAGCCTTTCAGCAAGTAGCTGGTGCAGTGCTGTGTTTCGGCCCTAGTCTGAGAACAATGCTGACAACGCACTGATGGTTTAGTTGGTGCTCAGTAGCACTTACCCTGATCAAGGACTTTTCAGTCTCCCATGCATTCCACACCACAGCACATCATGCCCAGTATAGAAACCGAGGGGAGCTGGCCAGGAAGGGCTCATCACTGCTTGGGATTGGGATGGGCATCCGTCCATGGGTAGTGAGCAGTTGTATTGTGCATCAGTGTTGTTTGCTGGTTGTATTTTTTTGTTTGATCTCTGACTCTTTATTATCTCCCTTTTCATTGGTATTAGCATCAGCATTAGTATTATATTGTACTTTATCTTAATTATTGAGCCCTTCTCATTCCAACCCATCGGTTTTACCTGTTCTCTGACTCTCCCCATCCCACCATGGCAGGGAGCTGTGACTGAGCAGCTCTGGGGTTCTTAGTTGCTGTTTGGGCTTAAACCACAAGAACAAGAATCCCTGCACGTGCCATACCCTGGGGATGCTACTCCCATGTTGGAGGGTCAGATGTCCCCATTGCTGGAGTAGTGAGGAGGAGGTCAGCTCAGCAGTAAGGAGCAATATCCTGACCAGGGTTTCGGGGTTCATAGCAAACCCAGAACCCAGCAGAGGTGGTGGAGCACAGGGCAGGGTGCAGGGAGGACAGATGGCCTGCGGGTCAGAAAGGAGGAGAAACATCCTCCAGTGCCATTGCCTGAGGAGGGTGCAGCTGGTCCCATCAGAGCCAGGCAATGACCTTGCACAAGCCCTTCATTGCACCCATGTCTCTGGCTACCTGGGGCTCTGCTCCCCATCCATTTCTGCTCAGAAATCAGTCCAGGACGTGCTGCACAAGTGCAGATCTCACTGGATGGACAGGAAAGTGCTTGCTCAGAGGAAGCAACCAGTCAGGAGGATGTGAAACTCATCTGGGGGTTCTCAATCCCCAAGGGCCCTTTCCTAACTCTGAGACTTCCTCAGGGAGGCTGTCACGGACTCACACACCCTTTGCTGTGCTGGCAGCAGTGCCCACAGCAGACAGAGGGCTCAGCAGCACTGAAGCCCCCATCAGAGGTAAGAGGTGCTGCAGGGTCCATCTCTTCGGGGGGGGGGTGCATGGGTGCTGGGAGTCCATCAGTGTGGCACAGCACTGGGCTATGTGAGAGGAGGCGGAGGAGACACAGGCTGCACACATGTCATGGGGGGGAGATGCACACTGGTCTTGCTGGGGGAAGACCTGTTCCTATGGGCCAAGGATTGTCCTGGGAGAGCCCCAGGTGATGGGGGCTTGAACCTGGTGGGCAGAGCCAGGGAAGTGAGGATGCTGCCAGAGGAGGGCTGGGATCACTCGGGTCCACCACCTAGCACTTGGAATGAGGGGGACATTGAGGGCTCAGCCATCACAGCCAGGAGCTCCTGGTGCAGTCAGCCTCATAGCACCTCCTTTGTCCCATGGCCTGGAAGCCACCAGCCTTTCTTTCCCTTTCCAAGCTCCAGAGCACTGAAATGGGGCAGAGCTTCTGGGAGCAGCTCCATCTGGTCCTCGCCCTCCTGCTCCTGAACCTGGGGTCTGCTGTGACCGGAGATGCCCATCACAGCTGCTATGGGGTTCCAGGCCTGCCAGGTATGCCAGGTCTGCCGGGCAAGGATGGCCGGGATGGGCTGAAGGGAGCCAAAGGCGAGCCAGGTGAGTAAACAAGGAGGGGAACCACACAGGCTGTTGAATGGGGGCCATCGCGTCCTCTATGGCTGCTTTGCCTTGGTTTGCAGGCATAAGGAGAGCATCCTCTGTGGACGGGGCAGGAGGAAAGGCAGCTGGAGAGACACAACCCTGTCCTGCCTGAGGGAAGGGGCTGGAGGAGCCTCTCCCCACATCCTGCCATTGACACTCACTCCCTTTCACCACCCCACAGGAATCCCGGCCACTCCTGCAACACGAGGGCCCAAGGGCATGAAAGGGGAGCCAGGCAGCCCTGGCTTGCCAGGCAAGAATGGCCCCATGGGTCCCCCTGGTGTCCCTGGAGACCCTGGAGCCCCTGGCATGGCTGGAGAGCCGGGAATGCCGGGCAGCTACAAGCAGAAGCACCAGTCAGCATTTTCAGTGACGAGGCAGACCAGTGAGCACCCCTTGAAGAACATCCCCGTGGTGTTCAACCACATCATCACCAACACCAACCACGACTACAACACCACCACGGGCAAGTTCACCTGCAGGATCCCCGGCCTCTACTACTTTGTCTTCCACACCTCGCAGACAGCCAACCTCTGTGTCATCCTGCACAAGGATGAGCTCAGGATGGCCAGCTTCTGTGACCACAAGACCAACAGCATGCAGGTCAGCTCTGGTGGGATCCTCCTCCACCTGGACGCTGGGAACCAGGTCTGGCTGACAGTGAATGACTACAATGGCATGGTTGGCATCGGCAACTCTGACAGCATCTTCTCCGGCTTCCTGCTTTTCCCGGACTAGAGGACCACCAGAGCCCACCCCAGCACGCTGGCCTCTTCGCCCTGCCCTGCAAACACTGCTGCTTGTGCCAGGCCTTTGCTGATGCTCCAGGTTTCTCTGCTGGCTGGGAAGCCCCAGGGAAGAGGTCAGCCCTAGCCCCAGACACAATGGCCTGGCCTGGGGACCGCGCACAGGCAGCTGCTGAATGGGGCAAACAGGCACATCTGGATGCAGCTGCACCCAGAGTGATGGTGCTGCTGGCGCTGCCACGTGCATCCATGCTGAGAAGCCCAGATAACCTGACTGAGGCAGAGGTCTCTCTGCACCTTTCCCCTTCCCAGCAGGACAGCCGTGTGTCTTGGAGCAGGTCTGCAGCAGTGCCTTTGCCATCACCCAGCTATGGAAAGTGTCAATAAAACTTTCCCCAGCGCATGTGGCCCAGCCTGTTTGCTCCTCCGTGACTTGTAGGCAGAGCCCACGTATGTCTGGGTGAATGTTGTGTGCATGTGTGGCATCAGAACAGCCCCAGGTGCTCCCTGGCTTGTCCATGTTCAGCATCAGGGCATCACACAGCATTCACAACCCTGGGGTAGCACTCACAGCCACACTGATTGCAGGAAAGGGGTGGCTTGTGTGCCCATGCCCCTAGGTCAGGGGGGACCGAGACTCCACCAGGTAGGGGCCCTCGTGCTCTTGTTCCCCTCCAGTTCAATTGCAGAGGGCCACAGAGCATGCAGAACACCTCATAGCCATGCCTCTGGTGGCTGGGACATCCCAGCCTTAACAGGTTCGGGGCAGGGGAAGCACTGGTTTCCCTGAGCCTATGGCCTTTGTGGCTTTGGAGGCTAGAAAGCCCACCAAAGCCCACCAGAAGAGTCCTCCTGATGGCACACTTTGTGTAGTGGAAAAGGAGGTCATCACCCATGAACATCCTGTGCTTCACCACCACAAGCATCAGCAGAAAGCAGGACTGGAAATGCTTTTACCGCAGGATGGAATCGCTTCCCATCCTCAGCATTTAGGAGAGCCTGGAGAACAGATTCAAGGTGATGGATGACCCTGTAGCATCCTCTGGTCTGAGCTGGGTATGTGCAGAGAAGGCTGGGGGATGATAGTTCAATGCATGCACATCTTTGCAGTCCTGAGGGGTTACCCCAAACCTGTCTGGAGCCCATGGCAGCATTCCCCATAGCAAGCATGACCCAGGGAGCCTGCAGGGCCGAGCAGACACCCCTCTGCTCCCCAAGGCCAGAGCTGCGTGGCACAGGGTGCTGCTTGGGGATGGCGTGTTCCACTGAGCTGATGGACAGCATCTGCAGCGGATCTGAAAGTGCCGCTGCAAAAAGGGTAGGAGCTAAAGATAAAAAAGGGATGTGGCCCAGATCCTTTTGCAATAACCCTTCCAGCAAACTTCTGCTTCTCCTCCTAGGCATTTCCAAGCAGGACGCTGGTGTGTCCTGCCCCATCTCCCCATCTGTGCAACGAGAACCTCAAGGTAAGAGCAAGACATGGGCAAGACCTGCAGGTAGGAACACGTGGGGAACCTGGCAGCATCAGGATCCTGGTGCTTGATGCCTTGCATGGAGCAGAAGAGAAAGGAGGATGCTGGGCTGGAGGTGGTGGAGAGCCCTGCTGGGACCTCAACCCCTCCTGCTCCACCTGGGGAAGGGGGAGATGGAAGGGGAGATGGCAAAGGCCCAGCAGGGAGATCAGCGACCTGAGCATCGGTCTGAAAGGGAATGGGAAATCCTACCTGAGGCCCCTGAGTGTGCCTGGGGTGATGTGGTGCCCAGATACAGCCCTGGAACGTGCAGTGCTCACCACACACACAGCTGCACCAGGAGCTGGGGAAAGGAGCCAAGCTGTGGGATGCAGGCAGGGCAGAAGGAGGATGGGACCCCAGGGACCAGCAGCCCATATGACTGTCCCAGTAAGGCTGCTTAGATACAGAAATGCTCCTGGGATGAAGCAGGCATGTGGCAGAACACAACAGGAGTGTGCAGGGGGGTTGGAGAGCAGGTTTGGGGATCTCATTGCAACCTGCAAGCGTTGCTGTCCCTCAGATGTGCTGGTGGGAAGCAAGAGCTTGTAGATGAGAAACTGTTCCCACCTGGGGAAGGATTTCACGTGCAGTGTGAGCCTAAGGTGGGGTGGAGGATTTCTCCTCTGAGGGAGCAATGGGGACCTGCAGCACATGCCTGTGGCTCACATCAGACCCCTGGGCCAGGCTAAGCTGTCCCCAGATATTCATGTGGCTGAAGCACTGGGCACTTGTATACTGGTCATATAAAAGAGGGAAGAGACTGGCAAACCCTCCCATACCCAAAGGGGCTGGTCCCTCCAAGGCCATCAGGAGAGTGGATTTGGCTCTGCAGCAGGATGTTTTCCCTTCCTGATGGCATTACCCATGTGCTTCTAGCCATGGTCCTCTGGAGCAGCACAGAGTGCCTGCCCCATCCCTCCCATTGCACAAGCCAAGCCCCTCAATGTCCTTCTGTGCTCCAGCAGATGCAGACCCTGTGGGCGATGCTGATCTGTCTGGCCGGAGGGCAGCTTGCAAGTTCCACCCTCTGCAACACCTATGGCAGCATCCCAGGCATCCCAGGGTCACCAGGACGGCCTGGAAGCAACGGCAGAGATGGGGAGAATGGCCTAAAGGGTGACCGAGGTAAGGAGGAGAGGTTGCAGTTGGGGAAAATGTCATCTTGGGAATGCCAAGAGCAGGAAAAGGCAGTGTCGGGTGCATGCTCCTGGGAAAGCAATCTATTTTCCATCAGTGACTATAGGGGTTATCAGGTGGGGGTGATGCTCGGGGCCAAAAGGGGACAGACTGGAGGAACGAAAGCAGGGTGCATCACTGATGCCAGGCAGGTAGGGCTCTCCATTGACCCTCACTCCGTGCAGGTACTGGTGGTTTCCTTCTCAGTGCCCTTTGCAGACCCATGGGGATCAGCTGAGACCACCATGACTCTTCCTTCCGCTCTCTAGGTCCCCCCGGCCAGGTGGATCACGAAGGAGACATGGGGGAGAAAGGAGACCCAGGACTACCAGGGTACCCTGGGAAGGTTGGCCCCAAGGGCCCCCCTGGTTCAAAGGGATTACCAGGTCCTATGGGACTCCCTGGCCTTCAGGGGGATGCTGGTGACTACAAGGCCACCCTCAAGTCCGCCTTCTCAGCTGCCAGGACCATCAGTCCCTACCCACGCCAGGAGCAGCCCATCCGCTTCAACCGCATCATCACCAACGAGAAGGGCCACTACGAGAACCGGTACGGCCGCTTCCTCTGCCGCATCCCCGGCATCTACTACTTCACCTACCACGTCACGTCCAGGGGCAACCTGTGCCTCAGCGTGAAGAGGGGCCGGGGTGGCAGCAGGGGCGAGAAGGTGGTGACCTTCTGTGACTACGTGCAGAGCAGCTACCAGGTCACCACGGGTGCTGTGGTCCTCAAGTTGGCAGCCAACGAGTCCATCTGGCTGGAGCCAACGGAGAAGAACTCCCTGGTGGGGATAGAAGGCTCCGACAGCATCTTCTCTGGCTTCCTCATCTTCCCCGATGCTTAGCCTCTTGAAGGTGCTCTGCATCCTTTCTCCTGTAGCTGGCTGATCCCTGCAGGGCTCAGGACTCCCCTGGAAATCTGAATCTTTGCTCCAGATTTAGGGCCTTAAAGTACGTAGCTGCTGCTCTTGCACATTAAATGACAGCTCTTTGTGCTGCTGATTCCTTCCTGCCTGGGATTTGCCTCTTTCCCCCAAAATACTGCTCAGATATGCAGGGCACTGCTTCTCACATCCCTGGGTGCAACCTGGGCTCGTTGGTGCTGAGCAGAGCCAGATGATTCATGCGGTTCCTGCTGCAGATCGCTGTCGGAGAGCCACATAGCGAAGGTCTCAGTGCAGGGTTAGGAAAACAGAGAGGAAAACACGGTCTCTAGCAGGAGGTGGGACACACAACCCGTGGCAGGGGTTGGAACTGGATGAGCTTTAAGGTCCCTTCCAACCCAAACCAGGCTGGGATTCTATGATTCTATGAAGTCCTAAAGCACAACCAAGCCCTCTCAGGGTGTCTTTACTAACAGTAGAGCTGATGGACCCAAGGAACTACAGAGCTGAGGACCCCAGGAATGTCCCCATCCCTGGGGAAGGTGACAATCCAGCATCGTACTGGGTTGTGCTGGGTTGTGAAGCCTATTGTGGTATCCATAGGGCACTCACTACATAGAAGAGGAGAATATTTGTGGGGGTCTGGGATGTGAAAGGGGCTTGATGAAGGGGATGATAAAGGGGTTTGGGGGTCGGATATGGGCTGGATTTTATGGAGCATTGCCACTGAACTCTCGGGGTCTGCTTGTGGGTCCAGGGCCCCACGTTACTGGCCTGCACAGGGCAGTGACCAGTTTGAAGGCTCCAGTTGGTCCGGGATAAATGGCCGGCAGATGGCACTGGAGACTGGATCAGCTCTCGCATCCCTGTCCCGCCGGCTGGGAGAGCAGCGCTCGCAGGGACCGGGCAGGAGGTGAGGCGAAGCTTTACCTTCGAGGAGGCACCGGGCAGGGGTAATGCTTCCCCCTGCACCATCTCCGCTGCCTGCCTCCCCCAGCAAAACCTGCGGCTTCTGTCCCCTGGGGTGCAGCCTCCCCGTGTCCCCAGAGCTCTGCCCCGCATCGGAAGAGATGCTTGGCAATTGAATCCCAAAGATCCCCCTGTGTGGGTGCACCGGGATGCTCCTAAAATGCAGCTGCATCACTTGTGCCGTTCTGCAGGTGGAGATGCAGAGTCCCAAATGCAACCGGGTCAGCAGGGCAGGGGAAGAGAAAGAGTTTTGACCCCAAAACCAGGCTGGGCAGCAAACACCAGCTCAGTCTCCTGAGCCCTCAGCAGGTCTGCAGCAGTCAGCGAGCCAAGGAGGACAGGGCTGACAATGAAAGAGCCTTGGCAGGCTGGAGAGACGAGCTGGCAGGACCCTACTGACGTTTGATGGAGACAAATGCAAAGTCCTTCCTCTGGCATGGGTTAACCCCATGCAATAGGGCAGGCGGGGGCAGGAGGAACCTGAAGCAGGAAGGGATCTGGGATGTTGGTGGAGAGCATGTCGAAGCTTTCTGCCTTTCTGAGTAATGGATGTAATCATTTTGGACTTTTGAAAAGGTCTTTGTCAGGACCCCTCTGGAGTGGAGCTGCTTTGATTTGTAAAACTGATGTCTGACCTAACACCAGCACAAGCCAAAGGGCTTCCAGGGTCTTGGCTGTACCTGGAGAGTCAGAGGGCGATGCAGGTACCAACTGTGTCTGAAGTGCACCTCACTTATGCAGCTGGAACACAGAGGTCCGCAGCTCCTGCCATGGGTCTCAGCCAGCACCCCTAATGCCACCGCAGGCATGAGCTCCATGGGATGGCAGCTGTCTGCTCCTTGGAAGCTGCCACTGCACGGGCCATGGAGCAGCACAACCTCTCAGGTATCCAGAATGGATGAGGAGATGAGAACAGAGGGTGGTGGTCCCTGCAGCATCCCTGTTCAGTTCATCCATGGCCACTCAGCGTGGGCAGTGTGCTTCTGCCCCTGCAGGAAGACTTGAGGTCTCCACCTCACCATGAAGAGGACCCCTTCTCCCAAGCTATTACAGCACACACCGAGACCAGAGCCAAAATGCAGATGCCCCTTCCCAGGAGGAGCCTGTATCACAGGGCTCCACATTCACTGTTTCAGGGAAAGGACTGATTTGCCCCTTTAGTTAATCCTTTACATCTCACCCATGGGCTCCTGCCACCCTCTATAAACTTTAAGCTGGCCATGACTGCACCCATTGCAAGAGCTGCAGGCTTTGCTCTCACCCAGGACGTAACAGAGGTGTCCCAGTGCTCTGTGCTCGCTCCCTGTGCGTGCTGCCTTTGCGCTCACTTGCACCAGTGCATGTGCATGCTCCCACCCATGCACGCTCCCCCTGCTCCATGCAGAGCTGCCCTGACACACACATTCTGCTCCCCTTCCCTCCCTTTGGGCTTTTCTTCCCATTCCATGGTGAGCCCGGCTCTTCCTCGCCGTCCCACCAAAGCTAAGCCGTGGAGCTTCACCAGGGGGTGCTGTGACCCTCGCCGGTGGCGTCGGGCCTCCACCAAGATGCAGAGGCCACCAGATGCTGAGCAGATGTGGAGGCGGGTGGTGCTTTGAGGGGATTTCAGAGCAGGAGGTTTGGGGGTGCAAGCATTTTGCCCTAAGCAGACATGGGGTGCTTGGAGGTCTGGCTGCGTGGGACAGTGCTAACCAGGAGCACCACGGCCATGTCACCCCTCACCCTGCCCCATCATGTACCAGATCACACCAAACAGCAGCACACTCTATGGGGACCCCACCAACCAGGCACACTTGGGAGCAAACCCACTGATGTGCCAAGACACTGATAGATGTGAGGATCCTAAAATCAACCCTTCCTGTCACCCGGCTCCAGGGATCAGCAAGAACACCATCACATGGGGGTTTCCCTTGCATCATCTACCTGGGTTTTGGAGATTGTCTCTGTGTCAAAGCTCCAGTGCAGGCAGAAGCAGGGCTCTGGCAGGATCTGATGAGCTGGAGCGTGCAAGGTGCCTCTCGAGTCCCATGGGAAGTGAAGCTGAACCGGGGAGATCAAAGCCCCACAGTGTTGTGTATCAGGCATGATGATGGTCCCACGGCCGGGTCTCACATCACCACAAACACTGTGGCATTTGCAGAGGTGTTGACCTGTTTGTGCTGAGCCCCATCAGTTCTTGGTACCTGCTACCCCAGATCTAACCTCAGGGCTCCTGATAAGTTTGTTTCCCCCATCCTTACGCAGGCTTGGATCTGAATTTGAACAGTAAGAAGCAATCGCTTCTTCTCCCTGGAGCAATAGGGACTGGCTTGACCTTGAGCTGCACAGGGAATTCCTTTTCCCTGGCCTCTCTGCAAGCACTGGGAGCTGTGGGGGCGCTGCTCTGGGCTGGCCACCAAGGGGTTAAGTCCCGGCCCTTTTTTCCTGCTCTGCCTCCTTATGAGGAGCAGCCTTTACAGGGCTGCAGAAAGGCTCTTTCTTTCCCCAGCAGATCTCTGGGAATGAAGTCTGTGTTCCAGATATTAAATTACTCATAAAATAGTTGGCCTGTCCCCGAGGCAGCTCTGCAGCCCCCCCCCCGGCCCCCGCTGCCCGCTCTGACGGGCTGCTGATGTGCATCTGCATGTCACCTCCTGCTACAAGGTCAATCTCTCCAATTTAAAGCAGCAACGCTGGAAAGCAAACCAGATTTCAGCCGAAATTAGCTTCAAATGGAGCATTCAGGGCACTTGCGCTGCGAAGGGAGCGAAGGAGGGGAAGGGCTAGCAGAACTGGGTGGTGCAATGCTGCTGCTGGAGCACCCCACACAGCCCCAGGGGAGGCAGGGATGCTGCCAGCGGAGAGGATGCTCAGGCATCCCTGACCCTGGGGTGTGGGGTGCAGGGGTTGGGAAGGGCTCCATCCCTCACCCCTTTGCAGCTTCGGGTGATGGAGAGCGGCTTCATCCACGTCGGAGGCTGCTTGGACCAGCGTGGCCATCAGTGACCTACAAGGCCGAGGTTTCCATGGGGATGTGCAGGGATGGAGAGCCTGGCCAGCGTTCAGCTCCAGGCACAGCTCAACGTCGAGCTCGGCTCCTTCCGCTCCGCTTCCTGCTGCCTCCCACCCTCCTGCATCTCCACATCAGCAGCATCCCCTCCCCGCCAGCCTCTGCCACTACACGGAGCAGCAGCAGAAGGGGATGCAGGAGAGCCTGCTGTGAGCACGGCTTGGTCCTGCCTGTCTCCGTGCATGTCCTTAACTCCTTAGGGATGCATCTCAATGAGATGGGGTTTCCCCCCATGCCATGCATGCAGATGTCTCATGGTTCCTGAGCTCAGACCAGTTGCTGCGCTGGGGATCCTCTCTGCCTCTGTTGGCAAAACCCCCAAACCAGCACTGGGGATGTGACAATGTGGGTCTGGGAGAGCCCCACATAGCCCTGCTCTCCTCCCCTGAGGTTTTCTGTGATTTGCAACAAAAAGGAAAGGCAGAGCTCTTCTTCCTTCCATTCCTGGCTCCGGTGAGTGACTGGGGACGAATCAGTGACAGTCCCCCCAGATGCCTCAGTTTCCCCATAGGGAGGAACTGACCCTTCTAAGTTACACACAGCATCCTACCAGCCCTGCTGGAGAGGTACGTGGGGTCTTCAGCCCTCATTTTGCAGTGTCCACCTATGTGAGGCTGTGAGACAAGCCCCAAGCCCAGTCCTTGCCACATATGCAGCCATGTGCCTCACATAAGGCAAGTCAGAGGCTCATGTGAATGAATACACATGGCACATAGCAGGCATCCGCACTGATGCAAACCACACAAGCACCACGCAAAGCACAATCCATCCTGAGCACAACCCCATCCCGCAGCATGAGAACAGTGCATGAGCAGGCTGGGCAGTCAGTACCCGGATGGTGAAGTCCAGGATTGCTCCCAACAGCCTCCTGCTGCCCTAAATCTTCCATTTACATGGAGAAGGAAAGCACAAATCAAGTAAGACAGCTAGGAGCCCACAGCGCATCCAGGCTGCCATGTGCAGCCTCACAAGGGCTGCTACACTGCGGAAGAGTCCCTAGGGAAATGTGTGCAACACGCATGGACACATACCTGGAATACCCATCTGGTGTTTGAATGGGGATTATCTGGGAGTCTGCAGCCCTGCCTGACTCGGAAAGAGCAGGGG